TTTTTTTGCAGTACCGGGGATTGAACTCAGGACCCTGTGCTTGCCAAGCAAGTGCTTATGCTGCTGAGCTATCTCCCCAGCCCCTACCATTTTTCCTTTTGGCTTCTGTACATTTAACAATACTTTGACCTTGGGGATTATAAGGAATTCCTGTGATAAGGGAAAATTTTACAAAACTTTTAGAAGACAGCTTGAACATTATCTATGAGTAAATGATCTATCCAGTTGTTTCCTGCTGACAATAGGGCCAAGTAGTGCGCATGAGTTCTAAGACGCAGAACAAAGAGAAGCTGACTTTTATTTTTAATAAGCTGTTGAGTTTTAATTTGAAAAGGTTTAGTAGGGGCTGGCGAGATGGTTCAGTAGAATAAGTGCTTGCCTGGCAAGAGCAAGGGCCTGAGTTCAATCCCCGGTTCTGCCAAAAAAAAAAAAAGAAAGAAAGAAAGAAAAGAAAAGGTTTAGTAGTAGATATCGTAAGTGAGATTTCTCCTTCATAATCACTATCAATAATCACCAAATGTACAAATACTCCTTGGATCATAATACTACTCCTTTCTACCATCAGACCTACAGTGTCTTTGAAATAGGGCTGAAAACTCCAGTTTTAGTTTTGTAAACTCCACAGGCTTGGAGCAAAAGCTGATTTTCCACAGTCATCAGATCTAAAGCTACACCTCCACTTCTGGGGAAAAGATCTGCGACCCAGCATTTGATTGAAATTTCGGCTGGCCAATGGAAACAGCGGGTATCCCATATTATTATTGTTGTTGTTGTTATTATTATTATTATTATTATTATTATTTTGGCGGAACTGGGGATTGAACTCAGGCCTTTGTGCTTGCCAGGGAAGCACTTATTCTACTGAGCCACCTCCCGGGCCCCTATCCCATATTATTTATCTCTGGGCCCCTGGGTAATAGGCCCATTTTCTCCAGTTTCCTGAGGTTGTAAGGGTTGGCCATTCTTTTTGTGTGTGTGTGTGGCTGGATCCAACCACATCCCTGAACTTGCCCAAGCTTGTCTAAGCAGGCACTTTAAACTATCTCGCCTGCCCTGTTGGCCACTCTTATCAAGTTGGAGCAGCATTCATTAGCCCAGTGTTTATCTACCCTCTCCACATCTTGGACAAAGTCCAGGTGCAGTCTTTCTATTCTTATCTCCTTTTTCCTTTTTATCTTGTCCTTTTCTGCAATCTTTCCTCATATGACCCATCTTTCCGCGCCTAAAACATTTGGTATGATTTTGTTCTAAAAGAGTCTATAAGGCAACCACCAATAAATTAGCTCCGTATGGCTCTGAGCCAAAATCAGCGCGGCCTTAGTATATTCTTCCAGTGATGCACCTTGTGCCTTCAGGGACGCAGAGCCTTTTGACATTTGGTATTTGCTTTCTCAGAAGACAAAGTTTGTGAGCTCAATCCCCAGTTCCGCCAAAAAATAAAAAATAAAAATAAAAGACGAAGTTTGTAACAATAAATCCCTCAGATCTGGCGCTCCCACTGTTTTGTGT